TAAAGAGTTGCTCCCACAGTTGCAACGTATCTGTGACGTCACGTGTTTGCCCTGGAGACAGCAGTATGGCGACTTGTCTGGAGCTTCTCATAACAAGGTAAGTTCCCCAAAGCTATTAAAACATATGTTCTATCTTTAATGTATTTATGTAATGTAATGGTGATGTATTGTCTGAATGTTTGTAACTCCTTGGCAGACATTATACCACAATGTATGCTGCGTTTATACTGTTATGTATTTTGTATCTCAATAAAGATCTCTTTAAAAAAAAAAACAAGGTAAGTTCCATGTTAAGAACATCATGTTTTTGATTATTTTTTATGAATGCATTAACTTTCTGTTTGCACAAGAGTATCAACTTATGATTAACGTAAGTTTATTTGTTTGGATATCGCGGTACGACTGTTCAGTACAGGGGAGCTTAAGTCCAGTCCTTCAGAGCTATCATCCTGCAACTTTCAGATGCTTCCCTGCGCCAATTAACACACCTGAATCATATGAATGGCTGATTAGCAGGTCTGTTCGGAGCTGATCCTGGTCTGTTGGAGTAAAGATGCATCGAAAAGTTGCAGGACCTCTCGAGGACTGGACGTGAGCACCCTTGGTTTATTGTTTTTGTTAGCAGCTAAAGCTAGCCAAGCAGGTGTAGCACTGGGTATCGGGTCGTTAAACAAACATTAAAACTGTCAGAAAGGCCGTTTGAGTTAACATTATTTAGCTGCGGAGTCGTTTTCTTGAAGTTTTCGGCTATAGACGGCATAATGGGGAGAGTGGCTGTGCTGGACCGGTGGTTTGATCTATGCGAGCAAAGCTAAGCCAAAATGTTTTTGTCTCTATAAATAATAATGATAATAAATAATGACATATTGGCTGCCTCTTTTTTTCTTCATTAGTACTTCATGTTGGTGACTGAAGCCTGTTATGATGACTTCAACACATTTCTTCTGACAGGTTGGTAGAAGAAATCCTCTCCAGAATGTTTCTATAAGCTGACTAATTTCTATAATGCCTAATGTCTGAGTTGTGTTCATGGTAATTATTTCTGACATTTTTATGCTTTATGTTGTAGGTGGTGAAAAATGCTCTCCAGGGTAAACCGGGTGGACAAAGTATTTTGGTGGGTCTGGTTAGTTTTGCTCACTTCTCTTTAAAATCTGTATTTATTATCCTAATGTGTCTGCTATTTATCCTGTTGTTCCTCCAGGCTGGGAAAACCAGGCATTCTTCTGTTGGTTCATGTGCTTCGTCCTACATCCAAAGGCCACAAGAAGAATCCAAAACAGCTCATGTCAAACTGTGGACCATGTTTTCAGATATGTGCAGGTATGTGGTTATTCTAATGATCCTACTTCTTTGTAGAAGCACTTTCTCATTGGCTTT